CTTGCTTTTGTGTTTTCAGTCACGGAGGACTTGAGGAGGGGAAGCCTGTGGATATGGTCCTCAGTTGTGTTGATAACTTTGAGGCTCGGATGGCCATTAATACTGTGAGTTTTTGGCATTAAACTGTAAGAACTATATTTTTTTGTTCATTTTAATATATACAAATGTATGTTTATATATATATATATATATATATAATTTATTTTTGCTATATTTTGAAAATATTTAACTTTCATTCCTTTTTTTTCACACAGTCACTGCAGTTTAGCAATTGCTTACATGTTTGTTTCTCTCTTATAGGCATGTAATGAGTTGGGTCAGATTTGGATGGAGTCAGGCGTCAGTGAGAATGCCGTTTCTGGACACATTCAGCTCATCATCCCTGGAGAAACTGCTTGTTTTGCTGTATGACACACTCATACTCCCAAAACACATACTATGTGTCTTGAATATGATTAATGATCTTAACTATTTCATATGGCTGTACCCTCTTCTATACTGTCTAGTTTTTGTGTCATAAACCATAAAACACTGCTTATTTCTGGCAAATGTCAGATGGGTTGGAAACAATGATCTGATCCAGTTTGTGTGTGTGTGTGTGTGTGTGTGTGTGTGTGTGTGTCAGTGTGCACCTCCCCTCGTAGTGGCTGCCAATATCGATGAGAAGACGTTGAAAAGGGATGGGGTTTGTGCTGCCAGTCTGCCCACCACAATGGGAGTGGTCGCCGGGCTCCTTGTGCAAAATGTTCTGAAGTAAGTCATAATAATCTTGATGATTCAGCACAGACTTAAAACCATGCTGTTTTTTTTTCATGTCTATAAAGCATACTGTATCATATTTGATATGCAAATTTCCAAGGTCTGTAACTCAACATGACCAACTTTACTGAAAAACCTGTTGTACAGTCTACTACATGATTGATAGTTTATACTTCTTAGCAATTAAAAGGCCTTTTAGTATTTAATTCTAAAAACATCCCCTTTCAGGTTGTGGTACATGTCTTTTTGCTGCAAACTCTTAGTATACTTAAGAATAGCCTTTAAATTGTTACTAATATTTCAAGACGGACACTTAGTTGACTGAAGCAAGTGGGTTTGGGTTTACTTGACAGATCCATACATAATTTAAGAAACAAAAATCATACGTTTCATATTGCATGGGTAGGGCGCCACATCCAGCAATTTTAGTATGTAAAATTATTATTTCTGGCAAATGTCAGATGGGTTGGAAACAATGATCTGATCCAGTTGTGTGTGTGTGTGTGTGTGTGTGTGTGTGTGTCCCACTACGAGGGGAGGTGCACACTGACACACACACACACACATCCCAGTATGATTTATTCCAGTGTAACAAAAGGAAAAATATTAAGACTTGAAACATTTTAAATAAAGATAATTGTTTTAGTAAGTTCAAGAATAAGTTTGAGGATGATTCTCACAAAACTATATTTTCTGCAAGAATTTTTCAAGATTAATAAAAAATGTTTTTTTTTTTTTTTTCATAATTCACAATTTATGTATACAGCGCAACAGCAAAAACTGTGAGGAAAAAATAAATGCCACATTTGTTTAGATAATTTTCTATAACAAGTCATGCTGCAATACCAAACATGACCACACAGTGATGCCAACAGACCATTAAACCAGGGGCCCGTTTCAGAAAGGAGGTTAAGTGAAAACTCTGAGTATGTTAACCCTGAAATGAGGGAAACTCTGGGTTTTCCATTTCAGAATGGAATGTTTGTCAAACCCGAGAAAGCAGGGTAAGTCAAGCCCGTTTCTGAAAGAGAGGTAACTTATACTCAGAGTCAGTTACCGTGGTAACTTACTCTATGAACCTAACCTGGTCAGGAGCAGGTTTTCTTCGGTAAACCCAGAGTTTCTTACGGTCTCCTCCCCCTTTTTAAAGCATAAGCAATGTTTAAATACCTCATTCATTCATTCATTCATGCTGTAAAAATGCTTTTCTTACTTAGTATTTCTGTCTTATTTCAAGTACAAATATCTAAAAATTCTTAAATCACGATGCATTTTCTATATAAGAAAAATTATATAGCCCAAGTTTATTCTTGTTTCCTGGGGGGAAACAAATGCATTTAATTGCATTTTACTTAAAACAAGTAAAATTATCCACCATGGGGTAAGAAAAATCATCTTAATGCAAACGTAAACAAGATTATTTTTTGATTCCCCCACTTGCCCCCGTCAAACACCAGACACTGTCAAAGTGACAAAAATGGCATGTTCTTTTATACTGTAGATGAGGAGGCTGTATTAATTCGTAGAGAGTTATATTTTTTTTGTGCCATATCCACATGCATATTTATTTGGTAGTTTTCTATATCGGGGATGCAGAGCACATTAAGGCCGCTGTATGCAGAGCGGTAACCATGGTGTGCCTCGCTGACGTTCACTTGATAACATCTTGAGGTGACCTCTGGAAGTAACCCAATAATTAGAATTTCCAGTGTGGTTGGATGCATTGATGATGCGCATATTCCCATCATCGCACCTTCTGAAAATGAAACATGGAACGGAAGGATGCCATATGGAAGTGTAGTCCGAGATATATGCTGCAACCACCACCACAACGGTTACATAAATACAAATTATGCACAATTTATTTGGTCATCTTTATTTCCTACAAATACAAAAGCAAGTGTTATTCTTTTTTTACTGTTGGTTTTTAGTATTCTTCCAATACTTGGTATTATGGCCATCTCCTCTTCATCTGTTCTTCATTATTTTGCGAGCCTTCTTGCTGTTGACTGAGTAGAAATCAAATGTTAATTTCATTACTCTAATTAAGAAATGTAACCGGTTGGATTAGAGAATCTTTAATTATGTGAAAAGATTAGACTACGTTAAAAGATTAGAGTACGTGAATAAAAGCTGCTGCACACTGAAATAGACACTGAATTAAATGTATTTAATATATCAAATGTTTGTAAAAATGTTTGTAAAGTCATGTAGCCTACACCCATGAACATTTTATGCTTAAAGCCTGATTGAAATGTTTTTATACTTAATTTTTAGCTGCTGTCACAGTCTTTTTTTTCTTCTGCCCATGGATACCATGAAAATGAATATTAGTTCAATAACATATCAAATGTTTGTAAAATGTTTGTAAAGTCATGTAGCCTACACCCATGAACATTTTATGCTTAAAGCTTTACCTGATTGAAATGTTTTTATACTTAATTTTTAGCTGCTGTCACGTTCTTCTACTCAGAGTTGACTGAACTAACACAATTCAGCTGTTCTGAAACCGAAAACTCGGAGTTTCCCATCTCAGGGTAAGTCAACTCAGAGTTCAAATTTTAACTCCGAGTTGGTTGAACCACCTTATTGAAACGGCCCCCAGCAGCCTTAACCTGACTGTATTTAAATACATACAGATCCATTCAGAATTATTAAACCGAGCAAAACACAAATTCAAAATGTAAATAAATTATCGAATGTGGCGATCTGAAAGCAGCTCAACATGACCAGTGAACAGCTCCTCTGTCAGAGTGTGTTGATGCCCATATGTATATAAACCCCACTAACCATTGTAAACTCCTATAAAAACACGCTTCTTCAGCAAGTGTCCATCATAAAACACTTCCCTTGCATGCGACCATGCTGAAATGCACTCATGCAAAGAGCGATTATGGCAAAAATCACAATCATGATTATTTTGGCCAATATTGTAATCACGATTATTTAACACGATTATGAGGGGGCCATATGACAAACTTTATATGAGTGATTTATTTGAAGATAGTGATACATATCAAATATATATTTCCTGTAAATAAGGTTGTTATGACATCTACATTGTAGAGACAATTTGACAAAAATGTTATGTAGAGACATTGAGTTGACTGAACTAACACAATTCAGCTGTTCTGAAACCGAAAACTCAGAGTTTCCCATCTCAGGGTAAGTCAACTCAGAGTTCAATTTTTAACTCCGAGTTGGTTGAACCACCTTATTGAAATGGCCCCCAGCAGCCTTAGCCTGACTGTATTTAAATACATACAGATCCATTCAGAATTATTAAACAGAGCAAAACACAAATTCAAAATGTAAATAAATTGTCAAATGTGGCGATCTGAAAGCAGCTCAACATGACCAGTGAACAGCTCCTCTGTCAGAGTGTGTTGATGCCCATATGTATATAAACCCCACTAACCATTGTAAACGCCTATAAAAACACGCTCCTTCAGCAAGTGTCCATCATAAAACACTTCCCTTGCATGCGACCATGCTGAAATGCACTCATGCAAAGAGCGATTATGGCAAAAATCACAATCATGATTATTTTGGCCAATATTGTAATCACGATTATTTAACACGATTATGAGGGGGCCATATGACAAACTTTATATGAGTGATTTATTTGAAGATAGTGATACATATCAAATATATATTTCCTGTAAATAAGGTTGTTATGACATCTAGCAGCACACAATAGCAAACTGGGGTTATAATGCTCAGGAACAGAGTTATAAAATAAATTGCAACCACTGTTTCCTGACATCATCCACTTTCGGAAGCCCAAACAAAGACGTTTGGGCACGGAGGTGAAAAAAAACAGCGTTTCAGGCGGTCGCACACTGGACGAGAAGCGCAGCGTCGCGCCACGTCTTTAAAATTCAAATACTTTATTGTCTATGAGTGTAGACACACCGGCGCGACGTTCTGCATCTGTCCGCGGCGCCCAGCTACGTCGTGTTATACTTGTAAGAATTGTTCTAGACATGCCGAAAATTTGACGCTACAGCACAGCAGAAAACAAACGCTGTAGTCCAAACGAGCCGTTCGCTGTAGTTCTTGAAAAGGGATTTTTTAAAAACAAAATATCTCCCTTTGGAGTGGACTTTGAGATTTGTAACTTTCTAGATCTTTTTTTATGCCCAAACATACACACTACACACTGACTAAAATTAAAAAAGTGAAAAAAGCATAATAGGACCACTTTAATGTTTTTTTTAATGCAAGTCTCAAGCGGTTTACAGCCTACTACAGAAATGAATAATCAAATGTAAAATAAAACCGCACAGTCTTCACTGTAAGAATGCAACTTTTTGTTCTTATTAAAGCTACACAAGTCCTTCACTCAAGAGCAGTGTGAGATTTAGAATTTGTCTTTTGTTTGATTAATATTAAGCGCACAGTCGCAGCAGGAAAATAGCCCGCTGTCACTTTAAGAGCCGTACGGATCCAATTTACCGTTACATGCGTATTTTCATTCTCAACTCTTTACGTTAATTTATTACATGACCGACGAAGGTATACATGAATAATCACTAAGCGCCGCATTTTGACATTTTTGCGTGTATTTGACCGTTTAGGCGCGCACCTTGAGCTAAAAGATGACTTTACATGTCCGTGTTCTGTTCAGCGCAAGTTCTCTTTCACGCTTTTAAAAACATGAATACATATACTTACATAAATCAAGCACGTCCCATTTTGAAAAAGTCACGTTACATAATTTTACTGATTTGCATGTGAAATTGGGCTTTTATGGAGGAACGAAAGCGCAGCGCTGGAAAAGGGGGCGTATTAATAGTTTTATCTCGATTATTGTATTTTCATAATCGTTGGAGATCGAAATAGTTTTTCGATTAATTGCACAGCCCTACAAAGAGCTATCAGAGAGCGTGCTAATAATGACGACTTCTGTATGTCACTGTAATCGCCTTTACTTCTATTACAATCGTCATCCATCAAAACTGTACTGGTGAGAAACTGGTTTGGCCTTACAGACTGGTCCTGACTTCATATTTCTTATTAATAGAGGTATGTTTGTTTCCACCAATCGCTGCACAAGTTAAGGTTATGTATGATGACAAAAGTTAGTACGTTAGTGCTAGCCCTCCGGAGCACATAGAGATAACATTGCAGTTCGAAAAAAAATCTTTGTTTGGAAGTTTAGTAAAATATCCCATAAAGGGCAGAACTTGACGCCGATTGGACTAGAACAGTGAAAGCTAACGTAACACCGTGGTTGAATGTGACAGAAAAAAAATCGGATTTCAGTACAACAAAATATTTTTATTTGATTTCTGTCAAACAAAAATAACTAAATCAAAAGGGCAGCTATAAAGGGAAGCGGAACAACCTTTTGTTGGTTTTCCATTTACTTAAGAAGACCTGTCTGAGATCGATACCTAAAAAAAATATGAAATATAAAACAGAAACACGTTCTTTGAAAACTAAAATCTGAATGTTTATTTTACTGAAATTCTATTGACATGTGCATAATAATTTGGAAAACAGTGTATATGAGACATAAAAGCCTGACATGATACTAAAAAAAACTATTTGTTATTAGAATATGTTGTCTAAAGGTTCAACTAAACGGTTCCATTTAGAAAAAGAATAATAATAATTTCAACAACTATTATTTCAGGCTTTACAGGGTTAAGATTACACCATAACCACAGGCCTAACTGTGATGTATCCTATTTCAGTTTAGTTACACTGATTACTTTGTGTAGTGGATAGTAAATGCTGTAGTATCATACAAATGCCATTAGATGGCAAAATAAAGCCATTTTTGTAACTTAACCAAATTGAACCATTCTAACTAACCCATGGTCATTTCAATTTCTCAGAGGTCTTGCCCTGTTAGTACTTCCAAAGGACTTTAAAACACAGAGCCTTGAATGAAATTGTCTGTGTTATAGGTATCTGTTGGGGTTTGGGACAGTGAGTTATTACCTGGGCTATAATGCCATGCAGGATTTCTTCCCGAGCATGGCAATGAAGGCCAACCCACAGTGTGACGACAGACACTGCAGACAACAACAGGACGAGTACAAGGTGACGGAGATTTATTGATCCATAAAATATATAATAATTAAATATGAATTAGCTACAACATTGTTAATTCTGAAACTTTTAATTTAATTTAAATTTATAATTTCTTTTAACTTTATATAACATTTTTGTTCATTTTTTAATTCATCACTTTCACTGAACATCACTTTTTTTTCTTTTTTTTTTTAAGTTTACAAAATTCCAAAATATTAACAACTGTTTCTAAGCAAGTTATTTAATCATGGATGTACAAAAGGCACACTGTGACAACCAGTTAGTATTAATACTAACAGTATATGATGTGATATTTCTTCCTTACTCCAGAAAAAAGAAGTAGAGCAGCCAAAGCAGGAAGTGGTACAGGATGAAGAGGAAGTGGTGCATGAGGACAATGAATGGGGTTGGCATCCCACACTCAGCACATTCCTTATTCATAAAACAAAAATCTTTAAATGTTATGTAAGCTTGAACGTGATGTTGTTTCCTGCCAGGCATTGAGCTTGTTTCAGAGGTGTCAGAGGCAGAGCTTCAGGATGCATCAGGACCGGTACCAGATCTGCCGGAGGGCATTACTGTAGCCTACACCATACCTGAGAAAGTACGACCCACTGAATTATAACACAACACTTTGGTTATTCAGGAGTTTTGCTTTCAAAAAAAAATTTGACAGGCAGTGAAGTTGCATTTTATAATATTGTAGTGCTGTCAAACGATTAATCGTGATTAATCACATCCCAAATAAAAGTTTTTTGTTTACATAATGTGTGTAATAATATTATTATATATAAATAAATACACACACATGCATATGTTTAAGAAAAATGTTAAGTTTATACATTTAAAATATTTATAAATAATAGCAATTATATGAATATAAATATATACACGGAAATATGTGGAAATATTCTCAAAATATACAGGTGCATCTCAATAAATTAGAATGTCGTGGCAAAGTTCATTTGTTTCAGTAATTCAACTCAAATTGTGAAACTCGTGTATTAAATAAATTCAGTACACATCGACCCACTGAATTATAACACAACACTTTGGTTATTCAGGAGTTTTCCTGCTTTAAAAAAAAAATTTGACAGGCAGTGAAGTTGCATTTTATAATATTGTAGTGCTGTCAAACGATTAATCGTGATTAAACACATCCCAAATAAAAGTTTTTTGTTTACATAATGTGTGTGTACTGTGTATATTTATTATATATATATATATATATATATATATATATAAGCTTGAACGTGATGTTGTTTCCTGCCAGGCATTGAGCTTGTTTCAGAGGTGTCAGAGGCAGAGCTTCAGGATGCATCAGGACCGGTACCAGATCTGCCGGAGGGCATTACTGTAGCCTACACCATACCTGAGAAAGTACGACCCACTGAATTATAACACAACACTTTGGTTATTCAGGAGTTTTGCTTTCAAAAAAAAATTTGACAGGCAGTGAAGTTGCATTTTATAATATTGTAGTGCTGTCAAACGATTAATCGTGATTAATCACATCCCAAATAAAAGTTTTTTGTTTACATAATGTGTGTAATAATATTATTATATATAAATAAATACACACACATGCATATGTTTAAGAAAAATGTTAAGTTTATACATTTAAAATATTTATAAATAATAGCAATTATATGAATATAAATATATACACGGAAATATGTGGAAATATTCTCAAAATATACAGGTGCATCTCAATAAATTAGAATGTCGTGGCAAAGTTCATTTGCAAAAGGAGCCCCTACCAAGTATTGAGTACATGTACAGTAAATGAACATACTTTCCAGAAGGCCAACAATTCACTAAAAATGTTTTTTTTTATTGGTCTTATGAAGTATTCTAATTTGTTGAGATAGTGAACTGGTGGGATTTTGTTAAATGTGAGCCAAAATCATCACAATTAAAAGAACCAAAGACTTAAACTACTTTATTTAATTAATTTATTTAATACACGAGTTTCACAATTTGAGTTGAATTACTGAAATAAATGAACTTTTCCACGACATTCTAATTTATTGAGATGCACCTGTATACTGTATGTGTGTGTATTTATATATACAAAATAAATATACACAGTACACATACACCTATTATGTAAACAAAAACTTTTATTTTGGATGTGATTAATTGCGAATAATCGTTTGACAGCACTATAATATTTGATGCGATTTTTGGTTTGGGTTAGATGCTTATATGATCAATAACTCAAACATCCTGTGAAAACAAAATGCATTTACCTGCTAAATAATTAACACTAACATTCAAAATTTGGGGACAGTATTTTTTTTTTTTTTAAGAAATTAATACTTTTATTCAGCAAGGATGCTTTAAATTGATCAAAATTGACAGTAAATACATTTCTGTTGCAAAATATTTTTATTTCAAATAAATGCTGTTGTTTTGACTTATCGAAGAAAGTTAAGAAGCACACCTGTTTTCAACATTGATAAGATGTTTCTTGAGCAGAAATTCCGCATATTAGAATTACTTCTGAAGGATCACGTGACACTGAAGACTGGAGTAATGCCTGCTGAAAATTCAGCACCTCAGGAATAAATTACATTTTGAAATATATTAAAAGGGTCATATGCGGTTGCTAAAAAGAACATTATTTTGTGTATTTGGTGTAATGAAATATGTTTATGTGGTTTAAGGTTAAAAAAAACATTTTCCACATATTGTACATTATTGATTCTCCTCTATGCCCCGCCTTTCGCTGAAATGCGTCAATTTTTACAAAGCTCATCAGTCTGAATTCGATGGCGCGTCCGGTGGGCTTGCGGCAACCACATGTGACGACCCTGGGCTGGACTCCGCTTCGTCCATGGTGAAAGCCGATCCGGCGATCCACATCGTGAAGTTGATGTATTTCCTCAGCGACCAGCACGGCTCAGCTGTACTGCCTTTTTCAGCTTCCCCTATCATACACATAGACAGATTAAAAAGGGTCTCAGATTTGTTAATAATATTAAAAAGACAAAAGCACACAAAGACAAACATTGCAGAATGAATGTATGCATAATTGCCACTTGATTGCTACATGTTCTGCAGAGCTAGTGGGTTGTGACTCTTTCCTGTGGTTTCTCACCCTGAGTTTGTAAAGCATGGCCAAGTGTTTGAGGTTATAGGTGAGAGAGGGATGATCTGGGGTGAGTGCTCGTTTACGGATGTCAAGTGCTCTTTCGTACAGCTCCTCGGCATTCTCATACTCTTTCCTTTCGCTGTGAAGCGCGGCTAGGTTGTTCAGAGACTGGGCGCAGTCGGGGTGATCTGGCCCCAGCACGCGCTGGCGCATCTCCAGGGAACGGGTCAAGAACATTTTTGCAGCACTAGGTTATAAATACCAACATGTTAAAATGCATATTATATAACTGCAAATGGAAAATGTGTATTATCAATAAAGTGCTGAAGTATAAGAACAGTTTACAACGAGTTGTCCATACAAAGTAAGTATTTTCACAAATGATGGACAATCCTGTCAGAGTTCCTTATTTTTTTATAAAATTTTACATTTTAGGTGCGCATTGAGTGTAATACATGAGGAAAGACATTTAAACTATTTTCAAGACAAGGGATGAAATGATTATATATGATTGGTTTAAACAAAACAGCAAGACAGGCTGAATGAAAATGCAAATTTACTCTGACAGTAGGTGGTGATTATTGAAAAAAAAAATACTGGTTACCCCAGCTACCCCTGTACACAGCAGTGCAGAGCTCATAAACACCACCTTATTAGGCATTTGCATGAATCACATGACTGGCCTATTTCAATGCCATGGCTAATTTCGTATATATATATATATATACATCATGTGGGGCCAAGACATGATTGTTAAGGTGCTACTAAGTGGCAAAGAAAGCAACTCCCATGACAGGCATATAGAAGAAATAGACCCAGCTGAACCCAGTCACAGGGAAGAAGGGAATACTGTGCAAATACTGTGAAAAGTGTTTTTTTTTTTTTTTCCCACAACAGCTTTGAACAGCCTGGAAATATATCCAAAATATTCAGTAAAAATTAATTCAACAATACTCAAAATCTGCATTCATGACTGAAAATCTGCATTGCACAATTCCAAAATTTTCAGGATGTGTGGTATGTATGAAATTATGATTTACTCACTCCAGGTTGTTCTGCAGGTAATAAAGCACTCCAAGCTCATTTAGAGTCTTGGCACAATCTGCTGAGTCTTTGCCAAGAGTAAGTTCCTCTAACTGCAGTGCCCGCCGCTTCAAGAGAGCAAAACCATACTAAAAAGAACACAAGCACATTCAGTATAAGATATACTGTTTTCCCCCCACTACTCTGAACTTCATTGAGTGGGACTAAATGAGACACAAATGTGGCTAAAATTATTGTTTGGTCTTTCCTTACCATGTAGCCTTTCTGTCGTGCTGTCTTCTGTCTAATTTTGACTGATCTCTTTCTCAACTTCTCGGCCTGCTCATATCTAGATAAAACAAAACAAAACAAAAAACAGAATTAGCCCAGCCCTAACTTTAAATTAATAACATAATAAATCATAAAGAAAAGGTCTAAAGGTATCTTTTCCAAATCCTAGAAAGCTGCCTAGGATTTGTTTCCTAAAATGAAGGATGTCTGGTTGTAAAATTATGCTGCCATTTTGACTAAAACCAAAGGTAGCCAGAATGCACTGCAATTACAAAAAAATGGGGGTGAGTAAGTTTTATATAATATATATATATATATATATATATATATATATATATATATATATATATATATATATATATAAATTCAGTTTCACCATCACAGAAATAAATTACATTTTAAATATATTCAAATAGAAAACAAACATCTTAAATTCTTAAAATGTCTCACCCCAAACCCCAAAATAGAAAATGACCAATAAAATACAATTGTACATATTTAAAAATGAAACATTTAATCTAATATTTGCGTGTTATGATTCTTATGCATATTTGACTGTCAAGACGGTCAAAATTTCCAGATAGTTCCATGTTTACTAGTTTGCTGCATTATGTAGAGGGTTTTAGTTTAGTTCTTTGGGATGGGTTCTGCCTCAGAAGGCAGCTCATTAGGATTTGGAACAAAGCCTCTGCAATATCTGCATAATGGAGTATGAACTTTAAGAAAAATGTGCTGTACTTGTTTTGTTTCTGGTAGAGGAGCGAGAGTGAGTCTAGTTCTCTAGCGACAGTGCTGTGTTCAGGGCCGTAAGCGTTTTCACAAATCTCCATAGCTTGTTTGTACAACTGCTCTGCGTTTCCAAATTTCCTCCAATGAACGTAAACCCCTGCCAGCTGGTGCAGGGACTGAGCCACACTTGGGTGGTCCGGATCCAGAGCCGTCTCACGGATCTCTAAGGAGCGCTGCAAGGGGGCCACCGCCTTAAATACAACACATTCACGTCATTTCCACACACTTTAAAATGGAATCCAGGTGATCATCAGTCTTTCCGTCTGTATCACCTGGCTGAGCAGTCCCAGGTCTTTGAGGAAGCGGCTCAGTGTCTTGTACAGGTTGGCCAGTCGGCTCATGCTCTGCTCACTCTCACAGGTCTTCTCAAACTCTTTCAATGAGTCGAAATACTCTGTCGCCATTAAGCACTTATCCTTACCAACAAACTGCCAGTATGTCAGCAGCTCAGAGAAATGACCCCTAAGAACACACATCAGCAGCAAGACGTTATTTTAGACATATATTCACACATAAATCAGATACAGCAGGAACGTATGAATGTACCTCTTGTACAGGTTCTGGGACACAAACAAGTTAAGCAAACTCATCTGGAGTTTACTTCGATCTTCCTGCTGCTGCAGTAACCACGGCAATTCATCAGCCACCCTCCACGTCACTCTGTCTTGCCTGAACCAACAAAAATTATTCAACAAAACAATCCAACATGGCAGCTATTTGTCGATAAATGCTTTGATCTTAGAGAATATCAGACATGTGATCAGCTAAGGACAAAATGGAAATACAAGAAGAAGAAGAAGGATATATTACTACTACTAATATTTTACTTTATTATTTAAACTGTAAAAATAAATAAATACTAAATAAATAAATAAATATTACTATTACAATAATACCATTGTACTGCAATAAAAAAACAAAACAAAATAAAAGGAATTTGTGTGTAGCAGCATATTTACTGTAAACTGAACTAAACTGAGATACTGAAAACACCAGATCATGAGCTGCTCGTGTGAAAATGAACACAGTATTGCTTTACTCTGAAACATGTAGGAGCCAGAGAGTATCACCATTTCATCTACTTGCCAACACCAATTTTACTCGCATTTGGCGCTTGGCGAGTGTTAATTTTCACAGAGATGCTAAGGGTGTTCTGCCCACAGCCTTGAAATCACAGTAATTATTTCCCCCTCAGATTTACACAATTCTCTTCCCAGGTCAGAAAAAACCCCCACAAAAATACATATAAATACAGAAAAATCTGCAATACGCTCAATAAGTTATTCTTACTTCAGCTGTTCACTGAAGAACCGAATGATTTTCTCACTGTGGGATCCACGACATTTGCCCCCATCCAGAAACTCTTGGTTGACCGCTTCACATGCCTGGAAATGATACATGGTTACACAAACCAGTTTCGCTTTAATTTACCTCTGTTAATTCTCTGTCAATGAGATGTGAAAGTGAAATCTTCACCCTACAAAGTACCATATTTAGTTTCATCAAAAAGCATTAAAGTGTTAGTTCACCCCAAAATGAAAATTCTGTCATTAATTACTCACCCTCATGTCGTTCCAAACCCGTAAGACCTCCATTCAAGACCTTCGGAACACAAATTAAGATATTTTTTATGAAATCCGAGAGCTCTCTGACCCTCCATAGACAGTAACGCAACTGAAATGTTCCCAGACAGAAACATAGCAAGGACATCGGCAAAACAGTCCATGTGACATCAGTGGCTCAACTTCAATTTTGCGAAGCTACGAGAATACTTTTTGTGCACAAAGAAAACAAAAATTACGACTTTATTCAACAATTATTCTCCCCAAGTTTCTTCCGCCATTTTGGAGAGTATCACAACGCATACGCACAATTTACCCTGTGTAAACAATGCTGATTACGCCGATTACGTTCATTCGCGCGCTTTCCCCCTAACATAAATGCCGATTACGTTCTTGGGTACTCTCAAAAATGGCAGAAGACGTAACTTGGGGGAGAAGAGTTGTTAAATAAATTGTTATTTTTGTTTTCTTTGCGCACAAAAAGTATTCTAGTAGCTTCGCAAAATTGAAGTTGAACCACTGATGTCACATGGACTGTTTTACCAATGTCCTTGCTATGTTTCTGTCAGGGAACATTTCAGTTGCGTTGCGTTGCGCTCTATGGAGGGTCAGAGAGCTCCCAGATACCATCAAAAATATCTTAATTTGTGTTCCGAAGATGAACAAAGGTCTTACGGGTTTTGAACGACATGAGAGTGAGTAATTAATGTGTAATTAATTCATTTTGGGGTGAACTAACCCTTTAAGGGACATTTTGCCAAATATAACTTCAAAGGTACAGCTAGGTCAGAGACATACACACCTGTGGGTGCTGAAAGCGAATGAGGCCACAGGCGTAGGTAATGATGAGGAGTCTCTCCAGATTGTGGAGCAGTGAGGTGAGAGCGGGAAAACTCAGGTCTGGGAACATCTCCAAAGCCTCCGATTCACTAATGCCGTTGTGACTGGCACATACCAAGCACAATAACTGCACAAGGAGAAATACAAATAAATAAGTTAAACTGTGTACTTTAGTGTTTTTTTTAGTGATACTCTTCTTCGAATAGGTAACTTTGGACAGGTGACCTCTTTCATGATGTGTTTTTCCTGATCTGTGCTGAGTGAGTCAAGCGCCGACTTCAGGCCCAGTCTGTATAGCGATACTGTATCTTGACACAACGCACAATGCTGTAGAGTCCTCTCCAACGTCCAGGAAGATCTAGAGCTGACATATTAAACATACAAATCTTATTTTCCCATACAAACAGACAAAGTGTGTGCTAAAGAGACAAAAATTGGGCTGGAATTTGAGTTTTAAGATTACTGTAGGCCAAAAACCATCCCCGCCTTGTCACTTAACAGAATTGTTACAAAATTCTTTTTTTTTGTTATATTATATACTGTATATATATATATATATATATATATTTTTTTTTTTACAAATAATATACTAATATACTAATATATTACATATATATTTTTTTGTAAATATTGTACATTAAATGTTTCAATTTAATTAAACCAAGCCTGTCTAGTCGCTTACCAGAAATGTGTCCATTTCCAAATGAACTGATAGCTTTGTCACTTTGGAAAATGCACATTCTACAATATATTCAGTGGTGGCCAAAATTGTTAGAACACCTGAAAGATCTGAAAATATTTACCTTTTTTGCTTCCAAAACATGATTTAATTTCATAATGTTCATGAAACGCGCAGATGGTTGCTCTGAGCACAAAAATATCAGATAAAGTGAGTCGTACTGTTTTTATCCACTTTTAACTTTAATATTTGGTATGTCCACCTTTTGCAGCAATTACAGCAGCACATGTCTCTGGCATAGTGTCAATATATTTCCTGAGAACTTCAACACTAATGTTATCCCATGCCTTCTGCAACTCAAGCCAAAGGCTTTCCTTTGAATGTATAATAGATCTGTCCAGTTTATTTTCCAACTCGCCCCAAATTGGTTCGATGGGGTTGAGGTCCGGATTTTAAGGGGGCCAGTCCATCATTTTCAATGTTCCAGCAGATTCCTTCCATCTGGCAATAGTTTGTTTTATGGGTATTGTAATGGCCAATTCAACAAAAACAACTGAAATCTCTTAAATATGCCAAGTGTTCTAACAATTTTGGCCACCACTATATATATATATATATCACACGCTCTCACACCACACATGCACACAGAACTATAAATACAAACAAGGAATATTAATAGACACAGACCCACAAACACACAATCTACTCACTCACACATCTACTTACTGTGTAATGAGTCTTGCCAGTAGTGAGATATAGAGTGTATTGCATGTTGCAGCTGAACGGCAATGTCTCTCCAACTTCTTTTCCTGTTTGCAAGCAATACAGACGATACTCAAATATATACATAAACAAATATTATGAACAAAGACTGACAAGGATGTTTACCTGATCTTTGGCGAGTTTGATATCGCTGTTCACGCACTCTGTGCTGATAAGACTCTTCACCTCTCTGGGATTGAGTGGGTCCAGGTGCAGCGTGGGCCACAATCTAAATAGCATAATATGTTTTGTGCTTGTCTACCTGTGTATAATATTACATTAAACGCATAATATCTTAACTGAAATGAGCTATAATGTGTGTTTGTGCATCACAAACCTCCATGCCTGTGGGCAGGTCTCCACATTAACTGACACCAGGACTCTCACATTAGCAGGAAGAGGATCAATCAGCCACTTCATGTGCCGCTCAGCATTCTGGGGAATACAAAAATAACAAACTGATCATGCTGAAGAATATATAATTAATAATGAAAAGCTGATATTTATTTTATACTATAGTTTAAAACTGATTTATGGTTGATAAGTGTTAAAATGTTACACTATTTTCTATATCATTTTGTCAAAATAAACTAAAAGAAAATTAAAATAAATAATTTTAAATGCTAAAGTGAATTTAGGCATCTCAACATTATAATGTACATTATGACAAATGGATATTTATTTTGAGATCTGATTACATGTCATTTAAAGCTACATTTAACTGTGTGTATGTGTGTGTGTGTACACACAGACAAACAAATATCTAGTCACTAACAAATATCTCTTATTTAATTTATTCCTAATGAAAGATTATAAAAATACCCTTTCCATATAGAAAAAGGCTGAACATTTCTGCTGAAATTATAGAAATTTTAGCATTATGTAAACAGTTACTATTAACTCCCACAACTAAATGTGGGTGTTTAGTTGTGTCTTCACCAACATCGTTAAACATGAGCACAGACAAACATAGCACAGTTCAATGAGGAAGATTATTTGAGGAAGTGTTACCTGTATTTGGTCAATGGAGTCAATGATGATTATGATGTTGCTGTGGTGACGCGCAGACAGCCGCTCTAGCCAGCGTGGGAACTCTTCGAGGATCTTAGAAGGGTCCATCGAGAGGCCGGAAATAGACCAGAAATGCTGGAGCAGCTATAAGGACGATTGGGAAAGGGAACTTGTTCAGAGGAAAGTTTTAGGTTCAGTTAACTATGCTTGAATTGTGTCTATAAAACCTTTTAAGTAACCTTTATGTAACCTTCTTATTACCGGTAAGATACTATTCACACATCAGTACCAAAATACCGGTAAACTCTGTGATGTCAATCATCAGAAATTAGGGTCGGTAGGGTCTTGAGTGCAGACGTCCGATTGGCACGTGTTTACATAGAAAAAGCAGTGATGCATACTGTAAACAGTAGGATTTATGATTGGCCTAAAGCAGATTTCTTACAGTAGAGTGTTCTGCTCTAATATGTGCTTCTTACCGGTAATCCTGTTCTCTGTTCACACATAGCATGATACTGGTAATTTACTGGTAATGTTACAATTTCTCATACCTGAAAATGTACCAATAAAGGCTGTATGTGTAAAGGAGCTTATGACGTGTGGGGGCAACAGTTCATCTAGAGTTCAGGATGTCTAGATCTAATGCTTGTGATGCCGATGATGCAACCAGGCCAGGTCATATCTGTAGTATAAGAGTGACAACATTCGTGATAAAAGGTTACCAAGTGCTGCTTTATAGTTAAAGGATCACTGTAAAAATTAACGGATGTATGTGTAGAACACCTCCTGAATCTATAATTATACAAGTTCTTTCACTGTTTTGGGCTTTTTGCGTAGCAGCTGAATAACAATTTTTTTAACCCTGGATAAAGGCTACTTCAAACATAGGGTTAAATGGGGTCCAGAGACCCCAATGGGGGTGCAAGTTTTTTTTAGGGAGGCTAGGTTTTTCTAGGGTTTTAGGATGTTTTCTGCATAGAATATAAGGGAGGAATTTTGTTTTTATATTAATTATTATGTATTTTTAGGGCTGTTAAGATTAGCTGTAAAACCACACTGAACTCATATTTATTGTTAAAAATAAACAAATAAATTTATATTTAACAAACTTATACATCTAAGATTTCTCTAATAGTGAATAAAAACATTTCTTACAAAATCTGTATTTAACATTATTTTTGAAATAATTTTGCTTTGGCCTCCACACAATATAAAACAATATAAAAACCAATTATTTAATATTGCAGACAGCATGTTGTCTTTAAAATACAATACTGTTAAAAAGTTTAGTGTCAGTAAGATTTCATTTCTTAGTTTTCAAAATAAATTAATACTTTGATTCAAAAAAAGAACACACAAGCTGATTAAAATTAACAATAAAATATTTTAAAACATTTTAAAATATATTAAAATAGAATTTTTTTTAGAATTGTAATACTATTTCACAATATCAATGTTCTTATTGTATTTGTGATCAAATAAATGCAGCCTGGGTGATCTTTTAAGAGACCAGTGTGAATGTCGAACTTTCACACTGTTAAAGGGGTCATATGATGTGGCAAACGGTAGGCCGCTGTGTTTTTCGTTGTGAAAGCGAAACTACTTTGTTTGGTCTTCCAAAAGAGGACGATATCCGTTTCATCATGCCTAGAGCTGATCCATGCTGGTCACCGAGGGAATACGTCAACTTAGTGCTGTGGATCGCAGGATCGGCTTTCACCGTGTACGAAGCCCGGGGTTGTCACATGTGCTTGCCGCTCCTTCGTCGGATCCGCCGGCTGTGCCGTTCTCAACCCCGCCGCCTCTGCTCACTCTAAGCCGGGGCTTCCGCTAGGCCGCTGTGTTTTTCGTTGTGAAAGCGAAACTACTTTGTTTGGTCTTCCAAAAGAGGACACGACTACAAATCAGTGGTTAAGTTGTATTTACAACACTGTTCCAGAACAGTTTAACCCAAATATCCAGATGTGTGCAGCACATTTTATGGAGGACTGTTTACTGATCCTGGGAGAGTAACGTTAGACTACAATGCCGGCAGTTCTGACTCACGTAAGTACGTTTTCATTTAAAGGATTTGCCACTGATGATTCAAACGCAAGTTTTGGGCAGTGTGGAGTAGCACTTTTGTTTGTCATTCCTCTGATCACAAATGCAGACAGGGTTTTATGTTTACGCGGCGCGATGCAACGCAATGCGTAAAAAGACAGTATAAGTAATTATAATCATTAATTGATGTCCCCACTGGATACAACAAATGCCTCATTTGTAATGGGTTTTAACGTTTTTGTCTCGTCGCTCCGGCCGGGACACGGCATCAACAGTATGTGAGGGGCATAACATTTCCGTCTCATGCTTGAGGTATTCGGCCAATCACAACGCACTGGATAGCTGGCCAATCACAGCACACCTCGCTTTTTCAGACCGATGAGCTTTGTAAAAATCTACGCGTTTCAAAAAGGCGGGGCATAGAGGAGAAACAATAATGTACAGTATGTGGAAAATAATGGGTTTTTTCAACTTTAAACCGCATAAACACATTTCATTACACCAAATACACAAAATAATGTTCTTTTTAGCAGCATCATATGACCCCTTTAACTGAAGGGTTTCAGAAGACTTAAGACAGACAGAACTGGCAACATTTTCACAGACAGACAAGCTTGTATATATGCATTTAAGAATGTTGACCCAAATATACAGTGAGAATCTTGAAACTCAACCACCCAAGACAAAGTATAAACAGTGTAAAGCAAGACAACCCAGGATTATGGTAACATTACGGATAATCTGACAATGTTATAGCAATTTCCAGTTTGAGAAGCCCTATACAGTGCAGGCTGCATGTAATAAAGCACTAGTTATAACATAACTGATTCTGGTCTCTGCCTCTGTTCTTTTCACAGTTAAAGGAGCTTAATAGAGTGAAATGTGTGTGTGTATCTGTGTCTGACCTTCACTGTGAGGCGCTTAATGATGAGCACTGGATCTGTGCTGGTAGAGAGAGGATGTCCCGTGAAGTGATACAGGATGAGGGTGTTGGGAGAGTGTTTCTGCTGTAACTCTATCCTGCAGAGAAATTACATATTGTTTAGTGTGAAAATTGACGTATATTATTATTGTGCAAAAATACCTAATATTTAGAGTTAAGATGAAACAACCATTTAGCAAGCAGAAGTGATTTGCCCGATCCAGGTGCACCAGATACCAGCAGTGGTGGGGTGGGTGGAGGGGCGGCTACCATGTCATTGAGTCGGTCGACATACTAAACAAAGAACCAATACAGCACTGAGCTCAGTGAATTTACACATTTCCTGCCATTCGTATACAGTTTATTCAAGATTTGATAATTTTGGCAATCAATGTATGTGTAGTACTTTCAGCTATTGTCAAATACACGGAATTACACAGATTTTCCCCCCAGATTTCTTGTGGACCTACTCATTAATTAAAATGCTTGGTCCATAATGAACAATACAGAAAATTATAACAGAGCCATCATGCCTTCTGGAAGCTGAATATGGAAGCTGAGCTGCAAGCCTGCTGGAATGTCTCAATTTGCTCCTGCTCATCATGAAGATCCCACAGCACATCACCAGAGTCTTCCTCTTCTCTCTCCTCCACAGCTCCACTCTCTTCTAACTCCAAACCCAACAACTCCTGAAGAAAGAGTTGCCCCGTGTATCATCAGTCTTTCTGTTTAACATCATGCATCTCCTCAAGAAAATAGGTTCCTCTTACAGAACCTTAAATAGTGAACCACACTCTAAACAACGCTTATATTTTTACACAAACGCTGGGTTACTTTCAAAGTGTTAGGCAGTTTTTTCTTTTTCAGTGGCTGGGTCAGTTTTACCAACAGTAGAAACAATATATCTCAATAACCCACTTCTGGTTTTTCTGTTCCAAACTGGACTGTCAACAGTCATTTTCACTTGACAGTCCACTGAGCTCCTACTGTATTTCTGCATAGACCTAAAAAACCAATTTAATTTCACTGTAAATCTATTGCATATATTATTTTGTTGTAAATATTTTAAAATAGTAAGCAATGATAAGCAACCCTACTTGCATTGTTAGTTTAACATAACATGTGTGCTGCCCAGTATTTACCAAGCTCTTGACAGCTGGGTTATTTTACCACATCGTATCTCAAGTGCATGATCACTTGAGAAGTGATCGAGAAGTACCATAATGCTATTATAACCTAAAAATACCCGCTTGTGTTTTCCTGTGTGTGTGTGTACCTGTTTGATAACTCTTTCAAGTTGAGTGAAGATAAGAGCAGCTCCTTCCTCTACAGGCCCAGCATGATCCACTACCTGCAGAAAACAAGCAGCAAAGAATAATTCACCAAAAAATAAAATGTGAAAGTGAACTAAGTTTCTTGGTCATTTTTGACCAATTTAATTTTCTTTCTTTCTTTTTTTTCTAAAAATGGTTTCCTTAATCTAAGTGGTTCAAAACATGGTGACTTTTTAGATATTCAATCTAAACAAACAAAAAGACATTCGTTCGATGAGTCTAAGTGGTCAATAAAGTCACACATTGACTGTTTGCATTCAAAACTGATAAGATTATATGGAATGAATGTAGTGAAGTGCCAAAGGTTTGCCTTTGCATGTAAAACAGAGACATTTTCAAACAAATAAGAGCTAAATAAAACATAAATTACCTAAAATCTCAGAAGAAGTGCATCACGTTATTGCTACTACCTCTACCTTTCACGGTCAAAAATGACCAAATACAGTCAAGGTGTAATCCTTTTTTTAAAAGTGTGGGTTATATATTACTACCACATAGTTGTGCTACAGTGCCGTGAAAAGTTTTTTGCCCCCTTCCTGTTTTTTTATTTATTGAATATTGGTCACACTTAAAAGATTCAGATCATCAAACAAATGTTAATATTACACAAAGATAATGCAAGTAAATACAAAATGCAGTTTTTAAATGATGATTTCATTTATTAAGGGAAAAAAGCTGTCCAAACCTGCCTGGCCCTATGTGAAAAATGAATTGCTCCCTCCTGTTAAATCATGAAAGAACTGTGATTAACCACATTATTTTAGAAAGCGGAGTTAAATTCCACTAGCCACACCCAAGCCTAATTACTGCCAGGCCTGTTGAATCAAGAAATCACTTAAACAGAACCTGTCTGACAAAGTGAAGCATGCTTAAAGAGCAACACACCATGCCGCGATCTAAAGAAATTCAAGAACAGAAGATAAACAAAATAGTTGACATGTATCAGTCTGGAAAGGGTTATAAAGCCATTTCTAAGGCTTTGGGACTCCAGCAAACCACGGTCAGAGCCATTATCCACAAATGGATAAAACTTGGAACAATGGTGAACCTTCCCAGGAGTGGCCAGCCTACCAAAATTATTCCAAGAGCACAACAACGACTCATCCAAGAGGTCATAAAAGAACCCATAACAACATCTAAAGAACTGCAGGCCTCACTTGCCTCAATTAAGGTCAGTGTTCATGATTCAACAATAAGAAAGAGACTGGGCAAAAACGGCATCCATGGGAGAGTTCCAAGGCAAAAGCCATTGCTGACCAAAAAGTACACAAAGGCGTGTCTCACATTTGCCAAAAAATATCTTGATTATCCCCAAGAATTTTGGGGGAATATTCTGTGGACTGATGCGACAAAAGTTGAACTTTTTGGAAGGTGTGTGTCCCGTTTCATCTGGCGTAAAACCAACACAGCATTTCATAAAAAGGACATCATACCAACAGTCAAACATGGTGGTGGTATTGTGATGGTTTGGGGCTGCTTTGCAGCTTCAGGACCTGGACGATTTGCCATAGTTGAGGGAACCATGCATTCTGCTGTAGCGTCTGGACCACTCAAACACACAATATATATTTTGTTAGCTAGATTTAACAAATACTCTGTAACACCCCAGGAAGCCGAACAGGCCCCTGGTTCCATGGTAACCCTGACACCCGATACATTTACGACCTCCTGGAATTTAGGTGAAGAAAATCGCTTCCTTGCCCATAGGGAAAATCCACAAGGGAAGGGCTTTTCTTTGCTAATTAATTAATAGGAAAACCTTTCTTTGAATGAACACACATGATCCTTCAGGTCATTGGGTATATTATTGTCATCTTGTATTTTGTCTTTGAAATTGTATACTGTTATGCAGGCTTATAATCGAAACACACTCCTGTCAGCTTACATATATATAACTCTACCATGTTTAGTATCTATGAATTCGTATTCGGATGATCTAATTGAGAGTGTATATTGTATGTTTACACCTACGCAACATATTAGTGTTCTAAGAGTCTTTAATAATTTTTATCCGAGTTTCATATGCAAATTACCATGCTTTCAAACAAAGGGCCATAAAAATGCCCCAGTATCTCAGAACTCCCACTTGATGTGAAAAAAACGCACCCGGAAACCCTAAGCTCATGCCAGGCCTCGGCCTTGTCCTTTCATTTCAATCAAGATTCTCTGACTCAAAACTGGTTCTTTTCATCGACCCAAATTCAGCAAAGATCAACTGGAAACCTTACTTCAAACCCTTACTATTACTTGATACATTAAGTATCAGTTGCACCTGTTTACAAAGGTGTGTTTGAACTAAGAATCTGACGTTTCCCTCAGGTGTAGATCTGCTGAATATGCAAATGGTTCCATAAATTTCATTCCTTATGTCTCTTCTCTGTACTGAGTTAAGCTTGAACCCTTTCCTATACCAACTGTATGCGTGTGTGTGTGTATGTGTATGTTAGACCAGTTTATGTGTTTATGTAGTATGTTAGACTAGTTTAAGTGTTTATGTAGTTAATAAAACCTTACTTGTATCACACTTGACGTGGTTCATTGTTTGCTTATAACTGGAGTCACTTAATCATGCAGATTTATGCTACAAGCTTTTGTAGAATTGTACAGTAAGAAAGTTATTTCCCTTAACCAGGAAATTAACGTTCTTAGAATTGACAAGACAGTTGACCCTGAGAGGTCAGCTAAATATCTACAACGGATCTAAATATTCATAATTAATTATAACTAGTTAATCAACTAATTGATTAACACCGGTATCACCGTCAGTACCGTCTATCGCGGCAAGCCTAGCTGTCATATGCCATAGCTGTGCACAAGGTGTTTATCACAGCTCCAGACTTATTTGTTCATTAATGACATCATCAGCGACTAGTCGCCTTCGACTCGACTTTCATCACATAAAAGTCGACTTTAAAAAATCAGAAGTCGTTCAACCCCTAGTGTTGTTGTAAGTGTACATGTGTGTATGCTGATGTTTGCACGTGTTGTTTCAGAGGATTGGGATGCGGCTGTAGCCAGTCTGCTGCAAGTTTCTCCTCACGTCTCTCAGGCTCTGTGGAGTAACACAGTCCGCTGTTACCTCATATACACACAGGAGACCAGAGCGGAGCTGCAGGCCTTTATACAAGTACACATGCTTAGATACAGCAACACATCTTAAATACACGCATTAGCACGATTTAGCACTCTTCATCCATTTGCCTCTCTATTTCAGACTCATTCTTTGAGGCTGCAGAGGTTTTGTGAGGGTTTGGGTCACTTCTATCTGAACGTGTCATTTCCTGAGGAGAAAGCTGCTCTGTATGCAGCTGAACGCAGGCAGGAGATCGAGAGGAGCTCTGTGTGTGTGCTGCTACTCAAGTCCTCAGTGTCCAGGTGATCTTTCTATCTTACTTTTTATCTTGTTATTGTTGATATGAATTACATGTCTCTATTGAATTGATGAGAAAATGACCTCTATAGGACCAGCGACTAGTCGACGTCCTATAGAGAAAATGACCTCTATAGGACCAGCGACTAGTCGACGTCAAGCTTAAAGCGTCATGGCAGAGCATTGAAGTTGACTAGTCGGTGCAACCCCTAAACAACACACACACAGGTGCAAACTCACCTCTGCTGACATTGGCAAATGGCCCCTCCACGTCAATGAGACTGTGAGCGAATTCTGGACCTCTGTGTGTCTGCTGTAACTGCATCATACTGCCCATGGACAGCTCGCTGCCCAATATGCAACCACTCCAGTACTCACACTGAGTTCCTGCAGCTGCACACAGAGTGGACATTAGGGATGCATTGGTACAGAAATTTTGATTTCACAATAATGCTCCAATCTAGAGTTTTTTAAATACTTCAGCTGTACAGTTGGGGAAAAAAAATTCTATAACTGTTTAATACAACAGTTAAACATAACTGGTCTTCTGCGACCTGGAGTAGACAATAATCATATTTAAATAAACAAAATCAATACATAAACAAACAGATCAATAGTGCTGGGCAATGATTAATCGCGATTAATCACATCCAAAATAAACGTTTTTGTGTAAATAATGTATGTGTGTGTACTAATATATATATATATATATTTATATTATATTAAATTATATATATATTAAAGACAAACACACAGTATAAATTTAGAAAATATTTAAATGTATTTACATTTATATTATATATAAATATTATTACATGCATGTGTGTGTATTTATATATACATAATAAATATACACAGTACACACACATATTATGTACACAAAAATCTTTATTTTGGATGTGATTAATCGCGATTAATCATTGCCCAGCACTACAGATCAATAAATTAATACATAAATAAACAAATTAAATAAATAAACAATTAGACAGACAGACAGACAGACAGATAGATAAATAGATAGATTCATACAGAAAGATAAAATAAAAATAAGATAGATAGATAGATAGATAGATAGATACAGAGAGACAAAATAAAAAAATAAAAATAAGACAGACAGACAGACAGCATCACTGAGACACTTGCTACCAACTCCAGAATACCACCGGCCCATTCACCCCTACATGCCCAGACATCCCCCTCCGGCCCCGGTGAGGAAAAACATCACCTGGACAAACATCACACGTCGTCCACCACACCCACCAATGGCTTTCTATGCACCTGTAAACCAGCAGTCACCAACTTCACATCCACCTGCTGCCCAACAAACCCCAGTAAGAAAGAAGAAACCAAAAACCACCCCCCACCAAGAGAAGCCCCCACAGCTGAGAGCACAGAGCTATGCTGAAGCTGCAGCCCGGCCCCCTGCTGCACCCAGCACCTCCACACCTGCCAGCGAACTGAGTCAGATCAGAGAGATGCTGCAGACACTGTGCAACCAGCTCCTGAACAGATAAGGACAATATGCACAAACACAGTGTGATAAGATTGACAAAAAAAATAAATGCACTAATGTAAATTGTTTACCATATACTGTACATTCTCACAGGTTACTTTCTCTCTGTCTTACAAAATAGGTTTATCTTTAATAATACTAATGCGTTCATTTCATATAAGTTGTTGGAATATTCAGGGTTTTCATTCTTCAACTTTTGGTACTAAAAGCACAGACCCAGAATTTCTGAAAAATATCAAAGATGCTGGTATTATCATTCTCACCGAGACCTGGTGTAGAAATGATGTGCTTACCTACTGTCCCTCAGGCTACTATGAAGTAATTGTGCCTCAGTTAAATTAAGTACAGTGCATCGTGGACAAGTCTCGGGAGGAATTCTGGTGTGGTACAGGGAAACTCTGGCCAAGCACATTTCTATTATTACATTTGGAAAATTTCACTGCTGGTTAAAACTAAACAACCAAATTGGCATGTCAACTACTGACATATATCTCTGTGTCATCTATATTATTCCCCCAGCAGAATCCCCTTACCATGATAAGTTATACCTGAACAAAATCCACACAGAGATCAGTCGTTTCCAGGCCCAGGGAAATGTGCTGCTGTGTGGAGACTTTAATGCAAGAATTGGATCTGAACCTAATAACATAGATCCAAAGGGCAATGAATATATCTTTGGCCAAAACTCCCCGAGTCTCACAAGAAAACTTCCACCGAGAAATAATCTTGACCAAACTGTAAATAAAAATGGTTCAGAGTTAGTGCACCTCTGCCGAGCTTTAGGCCTGTACATACTTAATGGCATGATCAGAGGGGACTCTTTAGGGAGGTTCACGTGTTGTTCAGGTCTTGGAGCTAGTGTAGTTGACTATGCCATCACTGACATGAACCCGTCCTCCTTCAGTGCATTCACTGTCAAACAGCAAACTCCACTTTCTGACCATAACCAAACTAACATTTATATGAAAACAAATCACACACCAGAACAAAACAAGCTGGAAACCTGCAAAATGTATTAGGTCCAGCAGAGATACAAATGGACTCCAGACAGCACAGAACAATTTATCCAAGCCCTGAATTCTGAAGAACCTAAATCACTATATTTATTAATAAAAAATTTGAAATAACTAAAGATGGTGTTAATTTGGCTACAAATGAAATCAATTACATATTTCAAATTGAAAAAGAAAGGCAAAAATTCACTTAAAAAAACACTAAAAGATGAAAAATGGTTTGACTCAGACTGCAAAACATTAAGAAAACAACTTTCAAATCTGAAACATAAAGAACCATACAACACCAACATAAGAACTGAATCCTGTTCAAAACTAAAACAATACAAAGACACAATTAGAGCAAAAAAGCAGCACCATCTGACCAAAAGTTTACAAGAAATAGAACATTCAATAAACCATAATCAGTTCTGGGATATGTGGAATAATCGGAGCACAACAAAACCACAATACAAGATGGAGATAGTTGGACAAAACATTTTGAAAACTTATATAAAGAAATCCCACCAAAACAACTCGATGACAATTATAATCTGATCAAACAAAATCTACAAACTTATGAAGACACAATTAAAAATAATCAAAATCCACTTGACTTCCCAATTACATATAAAGAATTGACAAACAAACTCAAAAGCCAAAAATTCAAGAAATCTTGTGGTCCTGACAGCATTCTAGGTGAAATGCTGAAACACAGCACACCTGAGCTTCAGACAGCTGTGCTCAAATTATTCAACACTGTACTTAGTTCAGGCTGCTTTCCTGACATCTGGAGCCAAGGACTCATTACCCCTATTCATAAGAGTGGCGACAAATTGGACCCTAATAATTTCAGAGGTATTTGTGTGAGCAGTAATCTGGGGAAGTTATTTAGCAGTATTTTAAACCATAGAATGGTAAACTTCCTTAACGAGCACAATGTCCTGAGCCCTAGTCAGATTGGCTTCCTTCCAAATCACAGAACTACTGACCACATTTACACCCTACGCACCCTAATTAATAAACACGTAAAACAGACCAAAAATGGACAAATATTTGCATGCTTTGTCGATTTCAAAAAAGCATTTGATTCTATTTGGCACGACGGATTATATTATAAGCTTTTACAAAGTGGTGTAGGGGGTAAAGTTTTTGACATTATAAAATCAATGTATTCAAACAACAAATGTGCAATCCAAATTGGCAACAAACATACAGAATTCTTCACCTAGAAAAGAGGAGTCCAACGCTGTTTAACATTTACATTAATGAATTAGCGGTGCAGTTGGAACAGTCTACAGTCCCTGGACTTACTCTACAAGACAACAACATCAAGCTTTTGCTGTACGCAGATGATCTGATGCTGCTGTCATCCACCCCACAGGGACTACAGCAGCACCTGGACCTGCTGGACAACTACTGTCAGAACTGGGCCCTGGCAGTAAACCTAAAAAAGACCAATATTATGGTCTTTCAGAAAAAGCCCAGATGTCAGGAACACAGATACCAGTTCAGTCTAGGCAGCACCGGCCTAGAACACACGATGCAGTACACTTACCTCGGCCTGATCATCACTGCATCAGGGAGTTTCAGTTTGGCAGTGAATGCTCTCAAAGATAAAGCTCGAAGAGCTCTATAC